TCACTAGCAGCCATGCCCTTTCCCCCATCACTAGCAGCCATCATCCTCTCCCCTATCATTAGCAGCCATCCGCCTCTCCCCATCACTAGCAGCCATCCTTCACTCACCCCTATCACTAGCAGCCATCCCCTTCTCCCCCATCACTAGCAGCCACACATTCTCCCCATCACTACCCACCATTAATCTCACCCCTATCACTAACAGCAATCCTCCTCTCTGTTACTAACAGCTATCATCCTCTCTCCCTCCAATCACTTGCAGCCATCCCCCTCTCTCCCTCCCATCACTAGCAGCCATCCCTTATCTTCCTCCCATCACTAGCAGCCATCCCTTATCTCCCCCTATCACTAGCAGTATATGTCTGTTTATGTATGTCTCTGTATGACTTTCGTCTGTTTGTCTCTGTATGACTGTGTGTAAATCTCTGTATGACTCTGTCCATATGTCTCTGTATAACTGTGTCTTTATGCCTTGTTCTGTATGACTTTCTCTTTATGTCACTGTATGACTGTGTTTTCATGTCTCTGTATGACTGTGTCTTCATGTCTCTGTATGACTGTCTGCATGTCTCTGTATGACCGTCTGCGTGTCTCTTTATGACCGGTTGCCTGTATGTCTGTGTATGACTGTCTGTACATGACTGGTTACTTGTATGACTGTGTTTGTTTGTGTACCTTTTATGACTATGTGCCTGTATGGTTGTGCCTTTGTGCATGTATGTATTTGTACCTGTATGTCTATGTCTGTTGTGTTTGGGAGGAAAAAGCCAGGCAAAGGGGCTCGTGGTGGGAGAAAGAGACACAGAAAGTGGCTGGGGGAAAGAAAGATACCCTCAAAGGGGCTGGGGGGAAGAAAGAGACACAAAAGGGCTGTGAGGAGAAAAGAGACACACAAAGGGGGCTGATGAGGAAGTAAGAGAAACACAAAGGTTGTGGTAGGAAGAATGAGATATACAAAGGGCCTGGAGAGGGAACACAGAGTGTGCTGGGCCCCCGTGTGCACTGGCTGGCTCTTTCCACCATACCACCGGACCACCAGGCGATCTCCCCCCTCCCTGGAAAGGTAAGAAGCAGGAAAAGGGGGAATAAAAAAAAAATATATAAACACATAAATTTAAAAAAAAAATGCTTCCCCTCCTATCATCCAGCACACGCACACATCATCCAGCGCGCGCACACACACACACACAACATCCAGCACACACACGCACACACACACACACATCATCCAGCACACACACACACACACACATCATCCAGCACACACACATCATTCAACACACACACACACACACGCATCTTACAGCACACACGCATCTTCCAGCACACACACACTGCATTCATTACACACAATCTGCACTTACTACAAACACACTACATTCATTATACACACTCTGCACTCATTACAAACACACTACATTCAATATACACACTCTGCACTCACTACACACACTGCATTCATCATACACACTCTGCAATCACTACACACACGCTACATTCACTATACACACTCTGCACTCACTACATTCACCATACACACTCTGCATTCATTATGCACACTCTGAATTCACTACACACACTGCATTCATTGTACACACTCTGCCAAGGCTGCCATCAGAAAATTTGGGGCCCCTGACACAGTTCAAAGTGTGGGCCCCCGAGTCTGCCTCCGTAGGTGAACTTATAGATAGCGATAATCACTATCTAAATGTGCACAAATGGAATGTGGGGCCCGGGACTCCCAGAGCAGTCCGGGCCCCCCAGGACCGCCAGGCCCATCACAACCATTATGGTTGTCATGCCCTGATGGCGGCCTGCACTCTGCACTCACTACACACACTGCATTCATTATACACACTCTGCACTCACTACAAACACACTACATTCATTATACACACTCTGCACTCACTACAAACACCCTACATTCACTACACACACTAAATTCATTATACACACTTTGCACTCACTACAAACACACTACATACACTATACACACTCTGCACTCACTACAAACACACTACATTCCCTATACACACTCTGCACTCACTACAAACACACTACATTTATTATACACACTGCACTCACTACAAACTGTGGGGATATTTATGGGATGATAATATTAAGCAGTAGAGAATTGCCCACTATTTCAATACTCTTAGATCTTAGAGATCGTTTATCAAATAAGTGAAAAGTATTCCATAAATAAATCACAAACTGTTATAAAAATAGATTGTATTTTATTGTAACAATTAATTAACAATAATATTAGGCAGCATGCATGATATAAATCAGTGAATATTTAGTACAACATAAGTATACAATACAATGGCATGGCTAACAGCATTTTCTGTCACTTAAGATTTATGAGGGTATCCTTACACAGCGAAAGTAAAGCTTTTCACAGCGAAGAGCCATAAAACCCTGGCTAATAGTTAAGTCAACTGAGTAACCCTTTCAATGCTGGCTAGATCCTCCTATGCATATAGTATCCTATTCTCCTGTGATTTTCAATTAAAATAACATTTGAACCAACTCATTAATCATTTCCTGGAACCATCCAATAAAAATAATCTACCAGATTTTTACAAAAGTCGAATTTGAATTTGTCTAAAAAGATATCTTATCTTATTTTAGAGCAAATCTATACACCTGGATAAAAACAGCGGTATGCTAACATGTGATAATTAATATATAATTATTCTTAATTCCACCTGCAGAATGGAATGTTTATAACTATATATTCTTTAGTTAACTAAGATTTCTAAATATTGAAATCTGACCGTGATTTATACAGTCATATATCATGCTATTAGTAAATTTTAATTAATTTAAATTAATTAAATAAAACCAGCATAATTACCAGTTATGTAGATATTCTCATCAGATGAATAGGTAGTCCCAGAAACTTGATTGGTTGTATGGAAGTGCGTGAGTGATAGAGAAAATTATAATTCTAAGTGTTAAGAGTTTTAAGAGTAGAGTGTTAGTCTCATAGATTGTTTCTGAGTCTCTCTCTCTACATGTCCGAATCGGAATCCCCCAAACTTCAATTCATCTCTCTGTATCTCCATGTATTTCCAACTTTTCCCTTTGTCCTTACTTTTAAAGGGCCAGACTCTTTGTACGTCATTAGTTGATAAACCAATAGGAAGCCATAGGTGTGTCCAATCTATGGATCGCAATTTAGGTATTTGATCCATAGAGGGCAGTCTCGTTTAACGAAACCTTCTTATCCAGGAAAGAGTTAACTTTTCCTGATGACGATTTTGACATCATTTGGCTTATCTAAAATGACTACCATAACTTAGATTTGCTGTCAGTTCAAAGCGTTTGTCCCAGTCTTTGTGGCAACTACTTTGGTCGTAACTTGTAAAATTGACAGTTCTAAACTCAGTTTCAACCCTTACTTACAATGGAACCTTGTAAAATTTAGAAAGTAAAATTAATTACTTAGTCTTCTCTGTCACTAGTGTTTGTGTTTAGATAATGCATTCCTCAGCTCAAACAAGTGGCTAGTTACAGAAGTAAGAAGAAATCAAGAAACTTATGTGTTTTTGTTATCCTGAAGATAGCAAAATGGAGTCTGCTCTGTTTCTGAGTGATTTGGCAATATACACCTTTGATTTCTTTTTAGCACAAAATGTCTGTTGATATAAATATTCTGACATAGCCCCCCTTAGTGACCTTTCATGGCAATGAATAATTTAGCCCATGAATAGGCACTATAGAAGTTACCAGACATATTGTGCACTCACACCATTTCTACTGACGTAGGCCCGTGCGTGGAATTAACATGTTTGTATATTTTTGTACCTGTAAGAGCTTTGAACTTTACACTTAGTACAATCAACCATAATATTATTATCAACATAGTACCCCCAATAACAATCTTAACATGGATGAACCAGTCAACATGAGCAATAAGGTCAGTATCTAGCTCAGAGTACTTAAATGTGTCCACAGAAATGTTATCTTTTCTGATTGACATTTGGATAGTGTGGTTGGGCTTATGGTCCAGCAAGAACTTTAGATTAGTATCTAGAGGGATATCTAGATTCTGGAAGGGATCCACCATCTCGATAGCACTTTCGATGATGTCAGTGTACACTGGGTATAGCGTAATGTCACCGATGGTGATACGAGAGTCGTGGGGTACCTTGATCAATGAGGCAGGTGCTGGTAAGGCAATTACTTTATTAGTCACGTGGTCCCTGTGAAAAACACTCATGTTTTTAAGACACGTGCTTACCAACCATGTATCTTTTACTAAGATAGCATGTACTAATGCATTACTGTCGGTTTTTGACATAGTTACTTGACATGTTTCAGAGCCATGTTTAAGGTACTCGATCCCACACAAAGCATTGTGAGAATCGTATACAAAAGGTTTTCCATCACATTGGAAATTATTGTTTTTGAATTTCTCACAGTCATTCAAAATGGGTATTGAATACCAATCTGGTACCCACGGTTGAAAAGCCAAAACATCTGGGGTTTGGACTTTTACGTGGATATTTTCCTTCCATGTACCGACATTGTAAATTGTTTTCATTTGAAAAATATTTTTGGGAGTTACATAGGGTATGGCCAATAAAAAGCAAATCTCCATACGTTCCGGATCAATTAAGAGAGGTATAGCGCTCCCCATCTCAAAGGCCAGATTTAATTGCATAGGCTCAATTGTTTCTCCATCCACATTGGCAAGCATCGCATGAACAATATCCTTAGATACAAAGTACAGAGGTATGCGTCCCCCTGCCAATTCAATCATTCCAGTTTGTACTTTGGCAAGAAAAGCAAGTGTGTGGAACAATATTGGGTCATGCAGAAATAGAAGTTCACGCTTAAATAAGTCATGACTTTGGTGCAACTCAGTGGATTTGGCAATTAACTCTGAATGCAAATTTGTTGTAATAACTGTGTCTTCCACAATAGTTAACACGTCTTGGAGAAGTGTTCTTTGCTGGTTTATCACCTGATGACTATCGTTAATGTGTTGCTTTAGCGCATAGATTTCCATATCCAGCTTTTGGACAGTAATAGAGTTGGCTGCAGACATTCCAGTTGCGCAACTGCACCGACAGTGGCACAAACTAATGCAACAATTATGGCGGTGAGGAACCTTGTGGGTCGGTTGCTCATCGACATAGTACTGGATACAAATGGTTTCCGGGCTTGCTCCAAGATGTTTTGAACACGGTCCTGTGCTCTTTGGAGGTGCATCTGGTACCAAGTCTGTAACTCAGGAAGCTGGATCGATGAAATGTTGTATGCCTTCTCGATGGAAATCTTGGGGTCCGAGCTGACGAACACACGTTGGGTCAGGATCCTCTTCTCTGTCAAGATGAACCCTGGTGTCTCTTGAATCAGGATGCCGGAGGATGGTCCCATCTCTGCGATCAGGTCGGTCCGAAGCTCTTGGCACAGGAGCAGTACGATCCAGAAACACGCCACATCCTTCTTGGACATCTTTCGACAGTCACGGATTAGGAACTCATTTCAGACTTATCTACTAATGATTCAAGGTTTGTTAAGCATACAAACTTATAACAGTGTGACATCACTTGGCCTAGGACAACACATTATTACGATTCATCAACATATGTATTCTCTCTAATTCTATTTTTATAACTTCATCCCTCACTACATTTATTACTGACTCTTCAGTAATCTCGCCTATAGCAGCTAAACAAGCTAGTAACCTGTTTAGAAAATGTAGTTATTGGATGGCAAGGAAATGGTTAATGACATGAACATTAGTCGTTCACCCTTCTGTGTCCGAATCCACACCTATAATCCTTAATTGAGATTTAGGATGACAAGCACGCAACTGGTTAATGTGAACCCACTTTTCAATAAAATCACCATCCTTAGGAATTTTTATCTTATACGCTACAGGGGAAATTTTGTCAATAATGACATATGGCCTTTTCCAAGAAGGTAAAAATGTATTTTCCTTAACTTGATTTCGCGCAAAGTTATACAGATAGACTTGATCTGTGATCTCATATTCCTTTTTCATGGTTTTTAAATTGTAATAGGTCTTAACCCTTGTCGCTGCTTTTTCTAGATTCTTTTGGGCAAAAGCAAACGCATGCTGTAAATGCTTGCGCAAATTTTCGATATACTGATGCGTAGTGGCAGCATTGATCAAGTTATGATCCAAAGTACGATATAGTAAATGCTGTGGTAAAACCATCTTTCTTCCTGTCATCAATTCAAAAGGTGACAATTTGGTAGCAGTGCTAGGTGTAGCTCTAATCGCCATTAAAACTAGGGCAATTTAATGTCCCAGTCTTTACCAGACTCCTTAACATACTTCTTCAGAATATTAATGATAGACTGGTTATAACCCTCTACCCCCCCGCTAGACGCAGCGCGGTATGCAATATGTAGCTTTTGTTTAACCCCTTAAGGACACAACTTCTGGAATAAAAGGGAATAAAGACGGAATATTTCCGTCATGTGTCCTTAAGGG